TATCCCAGGTGTCAGTGTCAGAGTGGCAAGAATATGCCAACAGTGATGCTGGTATTACAGATCAACACCTCTCTTTCTTGATTGACTTTGCTGTAAGGCTCAGTGGTTGCTGCTGATGTTTTAAAATGTTTTATTTTTGCCTTGCACTGTCATTTTCTTTTTAAAGTTTGTGAGAGTGATCTAATAAGTTTATGGTTTTGCTGTATATATCATTTTGTTTTGTAAACACATCACTTTATGAAAATGAAAATCATTGTGGTAGAAAAGGATTTAATGAAATTTAACTAAGGAACAAATAGAAAACTTCTTGTGTATATAACTATGGATGATCTGGATGGAATGAAAGATCCTGTTGTAAGAGACAGCTTTGGAAAGACTGATACTGAAGTAATTGTTTAGTACTGTACTGTATACAGTATAGATAAATGAAAGCTTAATTGATTTAAAGAAAAGATCAATTGAATATCACTGGGCAGAATATTACAGTACTGTAAGTAATATCTCCATTAGCCGGAATCCCTCTTAACCGGAACTCTCCGATAGCCGGAATTGAAATTTTCACGGAAAATCGTTCCCAAAGCTGGAATTTTCCAGAAAATTACGGCTTTGGGAACGATTTTCTCAGGGGCACATTTTCTGGAAAATTCTGAGAAATTTTCCTGGTAAAGTAAAGCCTCGAATAACGACGGTAATGTGTTCTCCAATATTGCAGTGCGAGGTGATTCATTGTATTGTGAATCATTAATACCATTAATGTAAAGCAATAATAATGAGATGCGTTCCAAGTGTGACCTTTCCATATCTTCTGTGTGGCTTTTTACCCTATTTTCCCCCAAAACAATAAAATTAATGAAAAATGCAAACTATATTCTTTGAATAATGTTTATGAATGCACCTTATACAATATACATGAATAATAATATGGTCACACAAGAGGAGATGGGACGCCATTGTTTTCGTTAGTGTTAACAGTCGGGAGTCCGGGATGATGGTTCTACATAAGAAACTAAAAAAATAAGACCCTGGTTGTAGCTGTAGTAAAACCTTGTGGCACATAATATTTCAGTTATTACAACACAAATTAGCGGAGCTTTCCTTGTGCGTATTTACAGCCGATTCACCAGGCAAGAAGATGATGGTAGCAATGCGTGTGATGGAGGGTGTGGGAGGAGGTTTTGAAAATTGCAATTAAAAGCCAGGTAGCGACGTGTCCTCCTAATATTACGTATTTAAGTAATTATTAGATGTCTTAAATGCCTGTTTGTTGGCCTGGCGAGTTAATACAAGGCATTTACACACCTAGGAATAAAGCTAGACATCGCATTCTGGATTGAACAAAATATTAATATACAGTGGTCCCTCGGTTAACGAACACAATTCGTTCCAGAAGGTCGTTCGTGAACCGAAATTTTTTTAACCGAATCCATTGTTTCAATGGGATATTGGGTAATTGGTTCCAGCTCACCGAAAAGTACATACAAAGTAAAAAAAAAATGCAGTAAAGTACACTTACTTTGAGGTGTGTATGTAGAAGGTTCCTGGTTGATGATGATGATGGGAATTAGAAGTGGGGGAGGAGAAGGGAGAAGAGAAGGAACTGGGGATGGAGGAGAAATCACCTTTCAGTTGACCCATGCCATCATTTCACCAATAAAATTTTAAGTTCATTAGGTGTAATTCAAGATTATTTTATTTAAATCAACACTGCACTGTGCTATATATTATCAACATGTTAACTAAATTTCAGAATGGCCAATAATTTCATTGAAAAATGCAAAAATATTCAAGACACCAACAAAATAGATGTTCACTACACTGTTTTCAAAGCCCAACTGACGCCTGGTGGCTGAGTCAAGCGACTGATGGGTGCACAAAGAACTATTTCCCTGTACTGTACTGCATATATTATCAATGTGCTAAATATGGTTAAAATGACTAATAATTTTAATATAAAAAATGCAAAAACTTAGAACAAATTACTGAATAGGCAGACTAGCCCATCAGCTGATGCTCACAACAAAACGTGATGTTTGTAAGGATTTCGTTAATTGAATTTTTGTTCGTTAACCTAATTGAAGATTCTTATGGAAGGTAATTCGTAAACTGAAATTTCGTTAACCGAACCGTCACCTGGGGGACCATTGTATATGTTTTAAATAATATTTACGAATGTAAAACAACAATTCTACTCACCAATGGTGGTAAAGTCTAAAACATAAGGACAGCCAATGATGTTGTGTGAGTTTTTACTCAGCTGGTTCAATTCTTGCTGAAGCTGTAGCTTTCCATAAATATGTCATAGCTGTTATTGAAACTGTTACTAAACCTGAAGTTGTTAATGAAACTGCTTATGATGCTGAATTTGATGGTGTAGCTAAAGTTGATGGTTTAGGCCTTCGAATAATAAAGCTGTAGAGGTTGTATGTGTTTTTCATGTCCATTAATTTTAATGCTTTGTTCTGTTAATGGATCCACTTCAGAAAATATGTTCATTGTTTGCTCCATATAATATCCACAGACCTCTCACCTTTTTCATATCGTTTTAACACATCTAGTTTCTCGGCTAAGTTTATACACTGTCTATTAGCTTTTGAACCAGCACTACCATCACTTGCTCTCTTGCTCATGTTGAATAGGGATGCAAAAATGCCATAAGAAACCTGAGAAAGTTATTCTCTTTTTTCTGTTCAGATGCATCCCAGCTGGTCTTCGTTACTATGGTGAACCAGGGAGTGTATGCAAATGGCAATTGTTTTAAACTTTCATTTGGCTTTTATTTACTGATTTGTCAATACAGTATTTTTGTTGAAGCTCTGAATGCGACTTCAGCATATGTTACCTAGGTATGTTAATTCCTAGCTAATTCACCAGGCCAACATACAGGCAATTAAGACATCTAATAATTACTTAATAAGTAATATTAGGAGGACCACGTCGCTACCTGGCATTTAATTGCAATTCTCAAACCCCCTCCTTCACCCCCCACTATACGCATCACGACCCTCATCTCTTGCCTGGCGGTCCGTGAATTTGTGTTCTAATTGCTGAACATAGCTCACAGCTCAGCCCCACCTGCTCGAGTGCTACTTATTTGTGATATTATTCCTTGTTATCCCTTGTTTAGTGATCACTTCGCTCAACAATGGGTTTTTCAGGAAGGCATCCTGTTCCAAGAAAATAATCATTGTTACATAATTTTATTGAAAATTAGCAATAAAGAAAAAAGAATGTCTATTCAGTATATGTTTTTCACTTGGCCTCTGCCCCCCCCTCCCTCCCTCCCTCACATACTAACCTCTCGCCCACAATTTGGGAACCACTGATCTAATATGAAGGTGTTAGATAATTTTCTCAGCATGTAATGGATACTGGGTTTACTTGCCAGCCTGAGTACAATAGTAACACTCAATATTAACATGAGTACATAGTTAGGAGGCACAACAACCCTGTGGTGAATTTATATCCTACAAGGTGTTGGAGTAACATGATAGCTGCTAAATACACTGCAGTATATGTACAGTACAGTGCTAGGAATCAGAATTGGGACCTTTTCAGCTACTCTACATATACAGGTTGTACCTCTCTAGTCCGGCATTCTTTGGTCCGTAAACTCCCGTGGTCCGGAACGATTTTAGTTTGCCCATGGAGAAAGTTAATTTGAGTCTGGTACTTTTGATGTTTGGCTAAATTTTGCCTTATATACCCTACTTTTTTTGGCGAATTACTACCTGTAATAAAGCAACATCCTAATAAACCAACGAAAATAACAGACAAAATCAAATAAAAAATAAAAACAACACAGAAAAAGTTCTTATGTTCTACAGCTTCAGCTAGAGTTGAGCATACGTCATCCGGGTAAAAACACACACAACAACATTGGCTGTCCTTATGTTTTCAACTTTACCACCACTGGTGGGTAGAATTTTTGTTTTAAATTCAGAAACATTAATTAAAATATATAAAAACAGTAAATAAGTGTTGCTTTCATATTCTTATGTAGAGTAATGATGATATGTTTTCACATGTGCGCACTTACATACGTGAGCTCACTTTTTTCTTAACCATTAATGGTTAGCTACTTATATTGTTCCATTTATTAACATTAAATAACATTACTTAAAACAACCATATTAATTTTTTACATTAATTTTACTACAGCTACAACCAGGGTCTTATTTTCTTCAGTTTTATACAGTATGTAGAACCAGTCAGTCACTGGTTTTGTAATCAACGAAAACAATCCCGTCTCGTTTCCTCGTGTGTTTTATTATTTTACGTATTATTAATGAATTGTATTGTTCATTTTGCACACATAAAAGTTTATTAAATCAAAAAGACATTCAGTAATAAACAATAATGAATCTTTTGTACATAAGAGAAATGACACTGTTTACACGATTTGTGCATGTCTGAACGTTGGCGGGCCGCTCAAACCCGTCGAAATTCGAGTTTCCGCCGTCAAAATTTTAAATTGCGAAGTGTTTTTTTTGTGTGTCCAAATAAAAAAATGTTGAATTAAAAACTCCCAAAATTTGAGAACCTACTGTACAACATTTAGCCCTTCAATATATCTTCAAAGAGACCACGAAGCAGTGGAAGTGGTGCTAGTGCTTCCAAGCGTAAGCACAAGTCACTATCTATCCAGGAAAAGGGTGAATTTCCATGGTCCGGCACCGGTCAGGTCCCGAGGTTGTCGGACTAGAGAGGTACAACCTGTAGCAAGAAATAGTTTGAGCAAATACTGTACATTTAGGTTTCATGTTAGTTGCTTCTGTGTGTTGTTATACTGTATTCATGCTTTCTGTTATGTTTTATGCCTTTAGTGTTTTGTCATTACTGTATTTGTGATGTCTAAATGATTCGTCATAAGTTGTGTGTTATTTATTATCTTATAGTCAGTGTGGATGTAGTTGTAGGTAAACTAACATTAAAAGAAAATATAGATTGCACTTCCAAAGACTATTGTTAATTCATAATTTTTCACTCATATCCATCTTCAGATGGGGTCTATGCTCATGGAAGAAATGGACCCTGAAGACACAGCTGCCGCTCTTCACGGTGCCATGAAGAACACGACCTACGCTCACCTGCTCTCACAGTTGAAGACAGTCACCCTTAACGTATTGGGATCAATAATGCCTGCTGAGATGACACCAAAAACAGCGGTGACTGTCGTGGATTTCCTGCTGACTGTAGCTTCCAATATTGTGCAGAATATGGCGGGTGTTTTTGGTGTTGTGTGAGTAAAGTATGTTTTAGTAATGGCTCTGCCCAGTGTTGCTGTCTGTATATAACAAACATGAAAAGGAATTATAACGTGACTTATATACTGGTAAGTGTTATATTTAATTTGCATATGATGAAAAAATTTCACCTTATCTTGGTAATCTTTTAACATATTTTATTCAAGATTCAAACTATTACATGGCGTTACTGTCAGATATGTGTTCTCATTTTTTGTGTGTATGACAGCTTAAAACAGTATTTGGCATTTGTTAATAATTTCAAAAGAAGGTTTAACTAAATGATAAATATATTCTTAGCCAATAATGTTCATGGGGTTTCCTGAATTTTAAATCCAAAGTCTTGGCAGGATAAAACACAGGTTGCTTAGTCCAGACGTGGCCATGTATGGTACTGTAATGGAATTTCAGGGTCTGTCCTCCATTTGTATGATTTTGTAGTAAGAAAAATATTATTGCTGGTAAAGTAGATCAAGTTTGATAAGGAGAGCAAGTAAAAGTTTAATGATAATTTTTATATTACTTTCTATGAAATATTAAACAATGTACAAATCTGTCAGCACTATTTTATACTTAGAATCACTTTACAGGAAAACACCAGCCTGTTATTACTCCTTATCAAGAGAGGAATTTGAGGGTCCTCTTCAGCAGGTGGCATCCTGGCTCAGCTTTACTGAGAAGCATCTGGACCAGTGGGATGGTTATGTGGATCTCACCTGTGGTATTTCTAAACTGAACTTAACACATACACTGTTGAAACTTTTACAAGATTTTGATTGGGAGAATGATATTAAACAAGTAAGTGTAGAAACTACAGTATAGAGGTACTATCTCTGTTGGGTATACAGTACAGTACAGTACAGGATATGGTAGAGGTGCTATTGAGAGAATTTGAACAGAAACAAAGTGTATTAGAGGATGAGCAGTTTGGTTTGGGAGAAAAGAGAGAGATGTATGGATCAAGTGTTTGCATTAAGAATATGGAGTTTTTAGAGAAGAGGAAGACTTTTTGTGTAATAAATCTAGAACAAAAATATATGATTAAGTAGATAGAAGAGCAATGGAGGAAGTACTGAACCTGGGAATCTGGTGAGTGCTGTCCAAAGTTTAGTGAGAATTTGTCAGGATGAGGATAAACTGCTTCCCAGTTGAATACAAGATTGTGCTAAGGGTGTGTTAGGTCACCATAGTTTAATGACCCATACAGGTGTGGAAAATGGTGTGGGTGGTGATGTTGATGGTGGTGGTGATGGGATGTTTACAGTGAACCCTCACTTTACGCGGTCAATTAAACCCACGGCGGCCCGCGTAAAGCGAGAAACGCTTAAAGTGAATAACATAACATATGGGATTAATTGAAATAGAGACCAGGCCAGCCCCCAAACTCCACTTTTTCAGACACAATACCTACGTTGTAGTAAAAATAACTTCTTAATTTTATGATGGTATGCACACACAATTAATAATTAAGAGAAATATCAATAATATTAGGTTTTTTAACACTTACATTAGTAGAAAAGATGGCTGGGCACACGGGGATGGGGGGTTGGTTCCGAGGCAGAGGGCAGATTATTGGCCATCACCTGTATCAATTGTATCACTATCCACCACAGAGGCTTGCAGGGCCTCTTTGTCAAACCCCTCAAAGTCCATATAAGTCCATATCCTCACTATCATTATCACTATGACTGACTTGGGCTGGCTGTGGTGGGTGGCGGGTGAAGAACTCGGTAATGTTTTGATGACTGGGCGACTTTGTGCGCACCCTGCCCACGCTGCTCTCCGCGTAAAAGAGTACACACACCGCGTAAAGTGAGCATTCCGTGTTCGGCAGGGTACCGTGTAAACGTGGAAACGCGTAAAGTGAAACCTCGTAAAGCGGGGTTTTACCGTATTATATTAATGATGGTGGTGATGTTTATGATGGTGGTATTGTTTAGGATGGTGGTGATGTTTATGGTGGTGATAATGTTTGTGTTGATGATGGTGCTGGTGATGTTTATGATGTTGATAATGGTGGTGATGTTTATGATGGTGGTGATGTTTAGGATGGTGGTGGTGATGTTTATGATGGTGGTGATGATGTTTATGATTGTGGTGCTGGTGATGATGATGATGATGATGATGATGATGATGATGATGATGATGATGGTGATGAAGTTGATGTTGGTGGTGTTGTTTGCAGGCCAGAATGACACCTTGGTCCATAGGCTGTATGAGTGATGTACAGGGTGTTAGTGTTGGGCGGTAAAAACTTCACTCGGATGCTCCCACCAACACTTTTTAAGTCATCCTGAGGGCGGGTAGTGCATTGATAAGGATGAGCAAGGCCTTGATCTCTTGCCTGGGGATGCCATGATTTGTCATCTGGAATTGTGGGACTGACGGGAAGAAGACATGGTGGAATCAGCCTTTAAGTATTTCCTGGGTGAACCATGCCTCTTTGTTGCCACACCAGGACAACACAGCAATCTAGGCCTCTGCATTTCCCATCACCATGGATTTAATTTTGTGGGTTCCAGCAGCATTGGCACATGGTGCTTGCTGGCCTAGAGTTCAGGGGTCCTGCTCTCTCGCTGGGATGCTACGGTGTTGTTAGGCAGAGACTTCCATTTGAGGCCTGTCTCAAATGTTTGTACATTTTGCACTTGTTGATGTGCAGCTCCTCTTTGAGTGGCTGGATACTCGCCATATCAGCATTAGTACTCTCATCAACCACTTGTCTGTTGCTAATCCCGTGCCTCCTGTAGAATTTATAAGAGCCACTCAATGCTCCCAAGGAAGTCAAGCATATCTAGCAGCATAACAAGTTGCTTTGCAGCATGACAGAGCTCATTACCATGAGTGAAAACACTACTGGCTCATTGCTGCTTGTACCAGTCATACACCACAGCATCCACTTTCATACTTCAGGGTACCCATACGAACATGGGTGAGGCTACCTTCCTCACCTGTGCCTGGTGTAGCTTTCTGTTCTGGCCCTTTCAATTTTTTCTTGGCATATTTTACATCGTAGATGGTCGACATACCCACACCATACTCCTCCGTCAACACTTTCACCGAGACATTCTTTTTGAGTTTATTGAAAATGTCTAATTTTTCCTTTATGGACAGTCTTTTCAATGGGCTTCTCCTCAACCCCTTGGTGACTCAATTTTTTCTGTAGTTTTTGGAAGTGTACACGTGCAGTAAATTTACAGTATAGTGCACACAAATATTACACACTATGGTACAGTATGTAATGTCCACTCTGCTATGCACAGTATCGTACATATTGTGCTCACACTTACAGAATGTAAATTTGCAGTAATATACACTGTAATGAATGTTTATGTCAAATCACTGTTTATGTCATGTACACAAAAACTGCAACAAGCGAGGAAATAACCTTGTACAGTAGCAGCAGACTAAGAAATAAGCGTATCATGATGCTAGGGTTTGAGGGAATCCCAAACAGTCACATGACAATATTAGCTAATCGCAGCGCACAAGCCTGCAACCTAAATTACCCAAGCAACTAGCCCACTCACGCACCAGGCAAGCATCCCCACATTGGAGCCAGATGCAATCTCTCGGAACTCCCAGAAAATTAGTTCCTGTGCCCAGGACGCACAGATTTTCTTGTAATTTTCTGTTAATTTGCATGAATTCATATTGGGAACATGTTCCCATCCCCAAAATGGAGAGATATTTCTCGGAAGGCTCAAAAATATATCCGGCTATTGGAGAGTTCCGGGGATCAAAGATTCCGGCTAACGAGAGTAGACTGTCCTTGGGACTAACAATCCTTCAGACAAGGCACAATGGGGCAAGTTTCATTGAAACATACAAAAATTCTGAAAAGGATGAAAAACATTACCCTGGGATATTTCTTGTGATGTCATGCACCACCAATATGAGGGGACATAACTACAAGCTCGCCAAGCTATCATGCAGAATGAATAAAAGTTAATACTGAACTTTTTTATGCAGTGGCTGGTAAAACTATGGAATGGTCTACCAGCCCAAGCTGTGGACTCAAAAACAGTACTGAGCTTCAAAATAGGTAAATACAGTGGTCCCTCGGTTATCGAACGCCTCAGTTAACAAAATTTTGGTTCACGAATTACCTTCCATAAGAATCTTCAATTCGGTTAACGAAAAAATTTTGATTAACGAAATCCTTACGAAAATCACATTTTGTTTTGAACATCAGCTGATAAGCTGAGGAGGTCCTCAGCCAATTCAGTGATCTCTTCTATGATTACATTCAAACTAATCACTATCTTATAAGAATTCCAGCAATGCAAATTAAATTCACCCCAGTCACTTCTATTACATTTTATAAGCAAAAAACAAAAACTCAATCTAGAGGACATAAATTAACAATTAAATACTTCACACCACAGGCGCCAACTGTCAAACATGTCACTGTCACCCCTCCCTCCCTACCCCCCACCTTCCTGAGAAACGTTTGGGGAAAGAGACTAGGTTTACAGGTTTAAAAATACATAATACCTCAGACTAAAGTTAGGATAATATAATTTGCATTGCTGAAATCCTTGCAAGACAGGGAATAATTTGATTATAAACTTCATAAATTTTGCACGAAAGATAAAATTTTTGCTCTCCCTAATAAAATTCTTAAATTAGATCTAAAATTTGTATGTCTAATGCAAATTTTAGCTTGTTTATATTCAAATTAATCACTATCTTATAAGAATTCCTGCAATGTAAATTATATTCTGGCTGGCTAATTTCTATGAATTTTATGAGCTAAAAACAAAAATTTCAAATAAATAAACAAATTATACTTCACCAGACACTCTGTCACCTCACCTCCCGCTCCCCCCCTCTTCCCATGCTCGCTGGCTACCTCCCTCCTTGCCTTCCCAGACAAAAGATTCGTGTTTTGCTTAGGCTTTAAGGTGTTTATTTTATATAATATCTCAGACTTAAGTTAGGATAATATAATTTGCATTACTGAAATCCTTGCAAGACGGAATAATTTGAATATAAACATCATATATTTTGCACAAGAGATAAAATTAATCACCTGTATCACATTACAGTAGTGATTTAAGCCTTCTAGTGTATATGTACAATATAGTGATTTAAGGCGATTTAGGGGAATTTTAGGAGTGTTTCTGACTTTATGCATTTTTGGCTTTACTTTGTATATACTTTTCTGTGAGCTGGAACCAATTACCCAATATCCCATTGAAACAATGGTTTCGGTTAACGAACGACCTTCTGGAACGAATTGTGTTCGTTAACCGAGGGACCACTGTAAGATAAATGATAATGTTAATGATGGTGAGGATGATGATGATAATGATGATGGTAGTAATAATGATGATAATAATAATGATGATTGTGATGACAATGAGGCAGTAAGAAAGAGGCAAACAAAATGGAAGGAGAGATATACTGTACTGTACAAGTTTCTAGGTCTTGCTTCTCTACTTTGGATGATATTGAAGAAATGCTAAAAATATCACCTAAAAAGTTGACAGTTGCATGTACTGTACTGTACTGTACTGTACAGTACTAATAAATTAGTTTACAGTGAGTGTGAGTTAAGTGGTGGATTTAGAGATATACAAATGTTTCTTATATCAGAGATTAAATTGGGGAAGTGTAAGTGGATCAAATATCTGGAAGTGGATTTATTATTGATGGATTTGGTAACATTATTTCTCATCACCTTAGAGTTGACTATTTTGTTGATTAAATTTCTGGATTAGATAACTTCTGTATTGTGTAGGAGAAAATAACTGTAGTCTTTGAGAGCACAGTATTAAATTATATTATTTTTTGTTATTAGATATTTTATGAGATGTTTCAAATTATGTGTTCATTTCCTTTCCAGATGATGACTGATGACGAGGTAAAGAACCAGACCCTCAGCTGTGATATTGTCTTTGACCATTTTGCAAACTTGAGTCAACAGGTAAGATCTGCTGGCATAATAAACAATATACTGTGTCGTATTTAGTAAGTTTTATAATTTATGAGATGTTTTTATTGTTGGGTAAATACAAGCAAGGCTAAATCACTCACATTGTCATATTGCAAAGTCTTATTTAAGTGTTGTAATGCAGTACAGGGGTCCTCGTTATATGTTGTACAGATGTGCATCATTTTACATATACATCACTAACAAATATAGGAAGAAATTTTCATTTTGTCATTTGTTTCACATATATTGTATGTTGTCTGCATCATCCACTGTTTTATATTAATTATGTGTGTATCGGAATATGATGCATAAGTGCAGTAGCATAAAAAATATCTAATATAATATAATGTAAAACTAACCATAAAAAGCAACACAAATGCCATACAATTGTTAAGCTTCTACCATGCCAAAATATGTCGGTCACTCCCCACATGACTGCGCACTAATGCCATTGTTAAATGTAAGATATCACAGAATTTGCAGAAAACTCATCTCAGTGTGCTAGTGTGCTTGATGAATAAATAAAATACTATAGTATACTACTGTACAGTAATATAAAAATGTAAAATAGAAATTGAGAGAGTACAGAGTAGGGGTATACTCTGTGTGGGTGATGGAGTGTACCTGAGAGTAGTATGGCAACACACCAGGAGTAGGGGTATACTCTGTGTGGGAGATGGAGTGTATCTGAGAGTAGTATGGCAACACACCAGGAGTAGGGGTATACTCTGTGTGGGAGATGGAGTGTATCTGAGAGTAGTATGGCAACACACCAGGAGTAGGGGTATACTCTGTGTGGGTGATGGAGTGTACCTGAGAGTAGTATGGCAACACACCAGGAGTAGGGGTATACTCTGTGTGGGAGATGGAGTGTATCTGAGAGTAGTATGGCAACACACCAGGAGTCACTGTATACCTCACCGCGGACATTTAAGTCACAAGTGTTCCAACACCAAAAAATGAAAGTTTGGAAAACCTTATTCAGTTCTTATACAATGGAGGGTTTGCATGTAAAGAAATGGAATGAAAAGAATAGAAAAGAAAAACTATGTCTGGATACATGGCTGGGGAGAGGAGGAGGGAGGGAGTGCTGGGACTGGACTGAGAAGACATCTCGCCTCCTGTGCCCGTCAGCCTACAATCCCTTTATTTTGTAACAAAAGCGTGCAATTTCACCATAATTCCCTTTTATTTAGGTTCATTTGGTGCCGGATCAATAAAACGTGACCGGAAATTAATAAATTTTCCCGAGAAAAACAAACTCGACCCATGCTTTATTTACATAGCGCTAACAGTTGATTGCCAACACCATCCTTCACCATGTCATCTTGCTTATTACAACATGTCTTCAGTACTTATTAATTAATAGTGTATTTATCACCACTTAATATTGTACAGTAATACCCCAATTTACGCGGTCAATTGAACCCGCGGAGGTCCGCGTAAAACGAGAAACGCGTAAATGGAATAACAGAACATATGGGATTAATTGGAATAGATACTGGGCGTACTCCTAAACTCCACTTTTTCTGACACAATACCGACACAATACCTATGTTGTAGTAAAAATAACATCTTAATTTTATGATGGTATGCACACAAAATTAATATTTAAGAGAAATACAGTCACCAGGTTAATGTCCATTCAAATAATGGACTAACTTCCACCCCCTCTCTTCCCGCGGCTGCGCTGGCTCCTCCCTCTTTAAGAAATGTTTGGGTGAAACACTAGATTTTAAGGTATAGTAATAAATAATACCTCAGACTAAAGTTAGGATAATATAATTGACATTGCTGGACTCCTTGCAAGACCAGGAATATTTTGAATATACACGTCATATATTTTGCACAAAAGATAACATATTTGCTCTGTGTAAACAAAATTCTTACGTTAGATCTAAAATTTGTATGTCTAATGCAAAATCCATGATGTTTATATTCAAAATGATCATCATATTGTAAGAATTCCAGCAATGTAAATTATATTCTGGCCGGGTAATTTGTATGAATTTTATGAGTAAATAAAAGATTATACTTCACCCTACATTATACAGCAGTAATACCGCTTGGTTTCACTTAGCGTTTTATCATATCTGTGATTGCCCTGTCAAACTGAACTTTCACTTAACACGGATTTTTTCCACATATACGCGGTGAGTGTCCGGCTCGAGACGCTATTTTAAGATTTGCCCCACCCGCCACCCTGCCTGACTGCCTGTTTTAGCTCATAAAATTCATACAAATTACCCGGCCAGAATATAATTTACATTGCTGGAATTATTATAATTTGGTGATCATTTTGAATATAAACAACATATATTTTGCATTAAACATACAATTTTTAGATAAAAATTTTTCTCTAGGTAACTATGTTATCTTTTGAGCAAAATATATGACATTTATATTCAAAATATTCCTGGTCTTACAAGGAATCCAGCAATGTCAATTATATTATCCTAACTTTAGTTTGAGGTATTATTTATTAAAATTTAGTGGTTATCCCACACATCTCCTTGGGACGGTTGGTGGGGGGTGGGGGGTGGGGGGGAGGGAGGGACCGACCAACCGACCATCTGTTACCCCGTGAAGAATTATTTTTTTTTTATTAACTGAAGATATTTGTTTTAGCTCATAAAATTCATACAAATTACCCGGTCAGAATATAATTTACATTGCTGGAATTCTTATAATTTGGTGATCATTTTGAATATAAACATCATATATTTTGCATTAAACATACAATTTTTAGATAAAAAATTTTCTTCTCTAGAGTAGCTATGTTATCTTTGTGCAAAATATATGACATTTATATTCAAAAATATTCCTGGTCTTCTGAGAATCCAGCAATGTCAATTGTATTATCCTAACTTTAGTTTGAGGTATTATTTATTAAAATTTAGTGGTTTCTACCAAGCAGTGTAGTGTGTGAGAGGGGAGGAGTTGAGTCCATTATTTGGATGGACATTAACATGACTGTATTTCTCTATTTCTCTTAAGTATTAATTGTGTGCATGTACCATCATAAAATTAAGATGTTATTTTTACTACAACATGGTATGTGCCTTCAAAAGTGGAGTTTGAAGTGCGGGCGTTTTCTATTAGGTCTCCATATGTTCTTGTTCACTACTTGTGATTTCACTTAACACGGGACCCTCTGGGTTCAATTGACAGCGTTAAGTGGGAATTAACTGTATGAGTAGATGCACATGGTGAATTCGGTTCTGGCAGGGTGCATAAATGTAAGCGATGTAAGCAGGACAGCGTGGCGGGTATTACTGCAGTGTATTATGAACCTGTGTATACCCTGGTTTATTTATTAACCAGTACATATGAAACAACTTTTCGGGACAATGTATAACGACTTCGTGTGCTGCATTACTACAGACAACAAATAATGTTGTCAGAATATATATTTCCATATAAATATACAATACAGTACGGTATGTTATAATGACCCCATTGTAAACTGATTTCTTAGCTCTCTCTCGGAACACATCTTAAGCTTTCATGGGGTATTATGTACATGGTGGAATGCATTTATCCCTAATTGCATTATGGGGGTAATTCCTCAAATTCTTCATTAAAACATTTCACTATAAGTTGCATTTCTCTGGAATACATCGACATATAATACCAGACCCCTAAGACAGTACTTCTCCTTTTTCTCTGTGTATAAATTTGTAAACTAAATTTATTCTTAAATTTCTTTATTATAAAATTATTTAGTTATAGACTTAACTTATTTTAGATGTTACTAGATACAGTGGAGTCTCAGTATTACACACTTCAGAATACAGTACAGTACAGTCGGCATTTTTGGATATTTTACAATGATGTGCATAAGGTTTATAAGTAGTAATGGAATTACTTTTATCAAGAGGGAATTATTTTATGCTTGATTTCCCATACACACACACACACAAGGAAAACACACTGAATAAGTGATAAATAATTCATGCTGGATCTGAACTAACTTACTCAAGCAGAACACATGTACAGTGATTAGTAACAAAGTTAGACATCACCTGGTACACCACTGAAGGTACAGGAACTAGACTTATGGTTCATCTGGTGTGTCTTACAATACAGGATGGTACTTAAGGTTTTGTCATTGTTACATACATACATACAATAGTAAACTATTCACAGTGGTTGGCTGATGGGTTGTGGGACATGTGTGCACTATTCCACAAAATTCACTCTTCTACAGTGGGCTTGATGTCAATTATTGTGAAATATTCAAACTCTACTGTAATATATACAGTACAGTAATAACATTTTGTGTTTTACATCGTAAGTATTCTGAAAATAAGTTATGAAAGATCAAGAGTGGTAGGGAACACATTAAGAGAAGCATATTGATGAAGGAAACTTGTAAAGAGTGTTGATCATATTATACAGTACAGTATAGAGGTTTGGCTTTGTCCACCTTTAAATCTTTTAGAAACTGAATTGAAAAGCAATTTAATTACTAATAATTATGTGCTTTAATGTTATTATTATTCTTTATAATATGTGATTTTTATTTTATACAAACTTTTCCTCAGGTGAAAGCTATAGTAACACAGTATATACAAGATGAAACAGCTCGGCAGCACTTCCTCACCTGCCTCACACCTGCCCAACTCCACTACTCTTGCTCAGTTCCTTGGGTTAGTGATATAATGATCATGTTTATTTTGTTGCCTGTTTTTTTCCTTTTTACTCCTGTGACTTTTATCTGTCAATTATTAGACTTTTTTTAGGAGTCTTTATTATAATCAACCCTCACTTTTGCTGATAATACAACCATAGGTACTGCGGAAAGGAGGAAACGCTGCAGTGAACAAATATAACATAAGTGGGATTAACTGAAGCAGAGACCGAAATAATTTCAACCCACTTTTTGACGACACACAACTATGTTGTAGTAAAAATTTATCTTAACTTTATGATGGTATGCACACACAATTAATATAGAAGAGGGGTTAGGTTAGGGAAAAATAAAGGTTAAGTTAGGGAAAAAATAAAGGCTAGGCTAGGAAAACTAAAAGTCAGGTTTAACACTCTTACTGCTAGTAGAAGAGATGGCCGGCATTAATGATGGAGGCTGGTTCTGAGGCAGAGGCAGGGCTACTGGTCTCAGGTGAGTCACGTCACCACTACTGTCATCCACACTTGTCGGGCCTCCCGACAAATCCTCAAAGTCATCTTCACGCTCTACCTCTGTCACTATCACTGGCTTTGGGGCTGGCTGTGGTGGGGTTGCAGGCAGGAACTCTGTTATGCTTTGCTGACGGCTGTGTTTATATTGTCGGATAAACCTGAAGCAGGGCTCCATAGTCTGCAACAGCTGGGTAGTGAAGATTTCATACCTGTTTGGCGCTAGGTCAGTTTTGAAAGGAGGAGCTTTGATTTTCTCGATACACCTCGGATGGCACCCCATTACTATGGGATAAGCGGTGTTCTTTCTTGGGATGACGACCACCTGCCTCTTCACTGACGCGTCATCATCATCTACCATCTCGTCGGTAGTCACATCAGGATCCCTTATCACCTCCAGATGTCGCCACAGGGTCTCGAGAAGCTCGCAGCTGTAACACTGCGCAGCTTCTCTGGCAAGGTCCACTGCAACTGCAACAGTCTGAACTCACCAGTCACAGATTGACTCCTCCTCTCACCTGGTATTCCATGCAACATGTCTCCATGCGTGACGAGAATTGTAGCACAGACAGCTGATCCCATGACTCCACCAAGAAGTCCACAGTTTCTTTGATGTTGAATATTCTCCAGAATTGTTTGAACAGTATTTTTGCTGTGCCAACTGTTGATCCTCATCTTCTTCGCTTCTTGTTGTCGTGGTGGTATCACCCAGGCTATTTAACTCTTCCTGGTGTTGGTGTAGTCGTTCAGGATCTTGAATTTTTTTAGTTGAGAATGCAGCTTTTTACATTACAGACAACTCTGGTCCATGGCCAGGCTATAGATGTAGTGCTGGGAGGAAAGGAAGACCACTTTTCCGCTGGGGTGACGATCTAACAGTAGCTAGTGTCCTGGTGCGTTGTCTCACCAGCAACAAAATTCTTTTGAATTTATACATTCTGCTGCTCAAGCAGAATTTCTTTACATCGGGAACAGAAATAGTCATCAAAACCAGGAGAGGGATAGTGTAGAGAATCCACGCCTTTACGTATGGGGTCAGCCAGTGACATTTAGCTTGGTCATGTCCATGTTCTTGTAGGCGGTGGCTTGGCGGGCTGTGTGGATCACCGAGCAATTTGAGCTTACAGGCACTGGAGGCATTGGTGGTAAACAGGACGGTGATGCGCCTTCTGCATCTTCCGCCCCAAATCTTGTTGCGGCATTCTTCACAACGAAGGTCTTGAAGGTAGCTTTTTCCAAAAAGACCAGATTCGTCCATGTTAAACACCTGATCGTCGGTGTACTGTCCTTCCTCCATAATCTCACGTGAAAAAACGGAGGAAATTCCCTAGCTGCGAACACGGTCAGCACTAGTTTCTTCATCACCAATGTTGATATTGGTGATCTTGTTCCTCATCTTAAACCCTCTGTAACCACTTCCGAGAGGAAGCATTAAAGGTTTGGGCTCTGTAATTCTATCTTTCGTGACACTGCAGCATACAGTTCACGCAAGGCATTCTTAACAGAGCTGCCAGGTCCACCGCCGAAATTGGCCCGACGCACCAAGTAGCTCACAAGCAATTTTTCCGTCCTGAGAAGCACCTGGTTGTGGAAATACTTGATCATAGAAGCACCTGTAGACCTTTTGTGATGTTCATGTGTCTTTATCTTGGCTGCATCCTCTTTACCGTCCAGATCAGAGATTCGCTCATTATCTATATGTTGGCTGCCACTAAATCAACCTGTCTTGTTCCTTTCTCCTAACTCTTTGGATGATCTTAATTTCACCTCAGAGGCTACGAACGCCGTGTCTCTTTGGCTTAGGCGGCTGGGTCCAGGCAAGGAAAGGTTTCTCTCTGGGGGCGGTGGGCCTATGAAGTCATTTTACAGAACAATGGATGGTCGACATAACGGTGTGGCCTGGAGGATGAAACTGCTGCTAGGTCAAGCTGGCCGCCTTTCCTCCTCCTCCTCCTCCTTCTCCCTCCCTCCCCTTCGGGTGGACACGCTATAACATTTTAAACCAATTATGCTGGGGCAGCGAGGGAGTGTAGGGATGCATGGCCAATCACAGTCCGATACATCATATGACGCCACTGATAACGCAACAGAGACATGCACTGGCAAAGAATCCTGGCCGCTGCTTGCCCAGGCGGAGAGGCGGAGCAGGCGGGAGGGGCGACCAAGATAGCGCCGAAGTTGACACTCTTGATTTAGCAAGTAAGCCACACACCACGGAATGTGAGCATCCCGGGTTCCGGCAGGGTACCGCGTAAACGTGGAAACGCGGAATGTGGGACCGCATAAAGTGAGGGTTGACTGTATATGTGAATCAAAGTCTTTCATGGGGCAACTTCAGTACAGTGATGTCCCTGTTAGCCAGAACACTTGGAGCAGAGCACTTCCGGGATGAGAGATTTCCGGCTAACCAGACGACTTGCACAGACGGACACTAGCCCACTTCCCCAGAACATTTCTTAGCAGAATATAACTTGTATTGCTGAATTCTGCAAGATAGTGATTAATTTGAGTACATAAACATCCCATAGTTTGCACTAGACATAAAAATTGCAGTAATCAACTCCGTCACCTCGCCACCTGAGTCCTTCACCTCACCCTTTGCCTCGTTAGCTCAGCTTGGAATTACTCAACAGTATAGTCTCCATTTACGCGGTCAATTGAACCCGTGGAGGTCCACGTAAAACGAGAAGCGCGTAAATGAAATAACATAACACATGAGATTAATTTAAATAGAGACTGGGCCGACTCCCAAACTCCACTTTTTCCGACACAATACGTACCTTGTAGTAAAAATAACATCATAATTTTATGATGGTATGCACACACACATAATATCTAAATAAAAAACTACACTACTGTACAAATATAAAGGTTTTTAACACTTACGTTAGTAGAAGAGATGGGTCGGCATACGGGGATGGCGGCTGGTTCCGAGGCAGAGGGCAGATTAGCGGCCCTCCAGTGAATCACTATCACTATTCACAGAGGTTTGCAGGGCCTCCCTGACAAACCCCTCAAAGTCCATATCCTCACTATCACTGACTTGGGCTGGCTGTGGTTGTGGTGGGTTGCGGGCGAAGAAGTCCGTAATACTACGTTGATGACTAGCATTGATGTTGTCGTGATACATCTGGACATATGGCTCCATAATTTTCGACAGAAGATTATTAGACACTTCATACAGATGCTTGACTGTGTCTTTGTCAAAGATGAGCTTGATTTTCTCCGCCAACTCAATGACTTCCTTCACATAACCATGGCTTGGTCCAGGTAGTTCAAGGTTTCTCGGGGGTGGTGGGGGTCCAGCGGAAGCCATTGTGAGGGGAATAGCGGGCACAAGAGAGAACTGTATACGTGGAGACTGAGAACAATGAGATAGGCCCGGCTAGGTCAGCGACTTCTTCCCTCTGTTGGCAGGGCACGTCATGTTACATTAGACCAATCACAGCTAGCGGCGGAGGGAGGTAAGGATGCGTGGTCCAATCGCAGTCCGATACGTCTTATGACATCAGCGATAACTTAAGAGCGACCTAATGCACACCCTCCCCACAACGCTTCCCGCGTAAATGATGGAAAGAACCGCGTAACTTAAAATTGTCATTCTGGCAAGGTGCCGCATAAACAAAATCCACGTAAAACGAGACTACGTATACTGTACATTGATTTATGACTGTATTTTTTTACTTTTTTAGTATTGTATGTACAACACATTTAAAGAAATATTTATATTTGTACAGTAATTAAAAATAGACCCGGAGCAGAAAAATCCAGCATTACCCAAGTGGTTGGTCTTCCCACCCGCGCACCAACATGTGAGGATGTGGCTAAACATGATACAATCTTTCATAACACCAGGAACCCTTGTCCCCAGGCCTTGAGCAGAAAGGTTTGGAGTGATTTTCTCGCAATTTTCTTAGATTTTCCGTTATTTGCGCGTTATTTCCTAATCGATATTTGCTCCCAGACCCAGAAATAAAAATTTTGACAGATTTTCCAGCTTTTTTTTCTGAAAATGCTCATGATCTTCAACCTTGGAATTTGTTCCCAAACCCGGGATTTAGATAATTTTACGGATAATTCTGAGCAAATTTCAATTCTCTATTGGAGAGTTCCGAGTTTGAGGGATTCTGGCTAACGGAGATATTACTTGTACATGTACATTAAATTTTGGGAGTAGGAAGCGTAATGCTGAGTACAGTATTGAGATATAGTGCAGTGTTTATTTTTCACATTGAATAAGATAGTCATTTGTAGCTACTATAGTAGAATTAACATTTGGGGGTTTTCATATGCAAAGTTGCTTACAGTAGGGTCGGGATATATCACGAGATAGGGTCCAAGGATGTTTGCTATGTACTAAATTGCGATATATAATTACATGTTTTTAATGGGGAAATAGGGTTAGGTTCTGGAGGCTAATAAAAGTGACTAAACTTGTCATAAAATGACACAGTCTAAAGTTAGCCAAATATAAATTGCATTGCTGGAATCCTTGCAAGACAACAAATAATTTGAATATAGAAATCACATATTTTGCGCAAGAGAAAACAAATTTCAACTTGTATTTTTGGCCCATTTAGGGGATGTTTAGGAGTGTTTCTGACTTTATACGGTTTTTGGCTTTATGTGAGGTCCCAGGAACATAACCCCACATAAGTTGTGAGTTTACTGTAAATAAATTTATAAGTACATATATTGGAAAATGTTGATAATTTTGGTAGTTGTGATATAAAAAAATCTTTATACAGGTATAAAGTCGGTATATATCCTGACCCTACTGTATGGTATAAATTATCGCTACAGGGTTTTCATACTCAATTTTTCGTATGAAGTAAAAATTTCGTATGAAGTAAAAAATTAAAATAAAATAAGTTTATGTTTACGTATGAACACTAGATACACAAGACACACATTTGGTAACGTTGGTGCAATCTGACACTATGTAGACTGCACTCAAGGTTACCACACCAGTCTCCATTTTGTGCTTAAAGGACCCAGGATATGACCTTGACTCACATTTCCCACACATTTTCTCATGGCTTGTGCTGATATCTCGTGCATCATAATGATATCATTTATTCATAACGGTATTGTGAGAGTTGTTAACCTTGCCTTGTGTTGCTGGTGAGGGTGGAGGGGTGAGAAAATGTAAAAAGTACAAGGAGAGCGCACCACTTGGTGATAGTGTGGTGCCTCCTGATGCCTTCTACTTGCGATTACGTATAGAAGTAATTATTTTGTATCGTGATTACTCATAAAAATTCCTTTTAGGTAATTTATTTACAATGCTAATGCAACAAATCTCCCCTTTTTATCTCAAATAGCAAGCTTGTTATGGCTCACTATGTATACAGTAACAATTTCTCGTGTGGTGCAGTCAAGTGCGGCGAGATGAATAACAGGCCAGATCCCGAGCGTCTCATGGGAGAGCGCCTACCCAAACTCAATAGTGTTAATATGACCATGCAAGAAGGTGCAGCTATTTATGATTCATTTCGGTAGATAAATGGATAAAGATGGTGTCATGAGAGGCAGAGCCAGAACCCCATAGGTTAGAGTGGGCAGGCAACTTCACCTTCAGGAACTATTGTTAGGCACCTCACCTTAGTGTGCAGTGATCACATTTTCTGTTAAATCACTTACCTGTACAACTAGATGCTCTTTCTCCTTTATTAAAACTTTTTTTATATACAAGATATTTCCTATTTTCTGTGTGAGGTGATATACGCAACATAGATGTGAAGTGTAGCTGAATGTCTTACTCGTTTAGAGGACCAAGACACATCCAACTGTGTTGATCAGCAGTTCCTTTGTTACTTTACTGATGCCATCGATTATTCTTGTACAGTTCCGTAAATGTGTTTCTACGCCCCCTGTGGTAACCCGTGTCTCCAAATGGCAATGTTGCAGTAGTAGCATTATTGTTTATGAATGAATGGGTATTGGTTGTGTAATGACGGACGTGATTGGTGGATAGGTTTGCTGTAGGTCATATATAGGTGAGCCGTTTGGAGAGACGGGCTACCACAGGTGGAATAGGAACACATTTCCACAACTGTACAAATTGTTTCAATGTCAGCAACTGGGGTCTGGAAAACATAATCCTTGACATACCTCCACAAGAAGAAGTCTACAGGCATAATCTCAGAAGGCCATGGGGTTGTTGGTAGTACAGCAGTAATGTGCTTATCTCTCACCTCTATGTCAAGGGTTTTAATCTTGCTTGGTCCAGGCACACGTAAGAAGGGTGTTATCCTATGGGACCCTACCAAACATCACAGGTTTCCCAGAGTACGGTTTTCTCCTGTATTAACACTGGGTAGAACAGGCTCGAATGGCTAATAAACTGATGAGTGGTGAAAATTATTATAAAAAAAAAAGTGACAGTTTTCCGTTTGTGGTAAAGTGTGTTTATTATTGGGAGAATCTTTAATTTGTACTGGTAAGCCAATAACCAGCTCAAAAGAGTTAGTGTATTAAGGTTTTGAACAAGTTTTAGAATAATGTTCAATGATACTGTAGTTTTGTTGTATGGATTGATGTGTGCTTTTTTGTGTGTGTGTTCACTTTAATGATGACAAAGAAATGCAGATTAACATAGATCTGTCTTTTAATTTTGTGTTACAGACTTTTAACAGCAGTTGGAGACTTGTTCAGTTTAAAATCAAGCCTGGAGACAGCAGAGGAACTTGCAGCAGCCATGGCAGCCCTTCCAGCTTCTTCGACTGCTCTCCAGACCCTTGGTTCCAGGATCACAGTCTTGGTGCCACTGGAAGACATTCTTATGAACGACTTTGAAACGAAATTAAATTTCAGTAGTGTGGTTATTGACATCATTAAGAATGACCTGCTGATAGATGTTAATCGAGTAAGTACATTGGCAAGTGAAGCTTATTTGGTTTCTCTCATATTGTACCATTGGAAATTGAGAATGTTTGGTTCCTCTAAGGTTGGTTTAGATTATGTTAGGATGTTATCACTGTAACTTTCTTGAATTTGGCTTTTTTGATACTTTGGAAACAATCTAAATTTTTTGAATAAATGGAAGGAAATTATGGTGGCCTCTGTGGGGATATCTCTTGTGAACTTGTGTTGTCAACACATCACATTTTTGAGTCACAGTATTAGGTCGTCTCCTTCCTGTGAAGGGAAGAACACTGCTTGGCATCAGAATGTAGGAGTACAATACTATGTGTGTGACAATGATGATTCTTCTCACATGATAAACTTTTAATATAAATTCATTGTATTTATTTGGTGTACAAGTATACTAATTGAGGCGCTGAGTGCGACAAGGTACCAAGCGCCCACAATCGCAATCGAGAAAAACTCAATTATAGTTTGAAAAAATTCAAAATGTCGTAACATTTGAACCAATGAAGATATTGAGTTCGTTCAAGTGGCAGTGTGTAGAGCTCTTAAAGCTGGTTTTGCAGATACTTAAGTCATATTAATTGAAAAGATTTTTTATAGTAAAAATTGCATTGTTTTTGATGGGTAGCGTTTGTAGTTTCATTAATATACATTGTTGAGGTATAATTTTGCATAACATGGAAGCAATAATGTATTAAAGACTACCCCCAGAAAGTCAAAGGTCATTGTACTGTTTGCATAAAAGCAAACAATACCAGGTATTACCAATATTTTGACCGGGGGCCAAGCCCCAAAAAGTATTATAAAAAAAAAATGCAGTTACTTGAGTAAGTTATTATTAGAAAAATTACAGTAAACAATGATTTGTATTACAACCCACCCTCGCTCTCAGCCGCCTCCTCCTCCCTATGTTTCCTCCCTTTGGTGTTATAAGACTCGTCACTCGGACAGGCCGGAACACTACACGTCACGTGCCACCTGCCCGCACTCCCACCCTCCTTGCCCTCCCTTCTCTCTGTTTTTCTCTCAATGGTCCTCACTGCCTCCTTTCTGCCAGTTAGAAAATTAAAAAAAGGTTCAAGTGTTATTACATAGCATTCCTATGACATTTTGTAGAAACAGGGACTCTCTTTAGGTAAGAAACCGGAAAATAATGAGTCGCTATGAGTGAGAGAGGCTACGATTGGGGGCCGTGGGCGTGCTTGTCCCCTTCTCCCACTCAGTCCACCTCGAGGCACAGATCACGTGCTGTAGAGACGCTTTTACCTACCTTCACTAATATGGCTCTCAGACTTACAAGTATTGTGCTGCTGGGACAGTTTGTGTTTCTGCAGATAGAGGAAAGGTTGGGAGTACAGATAATACTATACACTATAACTCAGTTTGGGGGGAGCACTTGTTACCTTGTCACACTCAGCATCTCATTTATGATACAGGGTGTTAATAATACCTTGTTGGAAACACTGCTCCTTGTCCAATAAGTGAAGCTAAGCAACATTGGGTCTGGCTAGTACTTGGATGGGTAACCGCCTGGCCCTAATAACACCAGATGCTGCTAGCATGAGGACTACTGGAAACAAGCCTCTCGTGGCTTTGTCAGCCGTCCTTGGTCAAATTGACTTAATAACAATTATTATTACAAAGTCCTGTTATGGTTTTAAAATTTTATCACAACAAAACCAAAATACATAGAATTATGCTTTTTTTGGTATTTTGTTGCTTAACAAATCTAGTTTTATATGTTCTTTAGTGCATCTCAACATGTTCACTTTAGTGGACCAAAACACATCTATCCTTGTTGACCAACAGTTCCTTTGTTACTCTCCCAATACAGTACCATCAATTATTCTTGTACAAATTGTTTCAATGTCAGCAACTGGGGTCTGGAAAACATAATTCTTGACATACCTCCACAAGAAGAAGTCTACAGGCATAATTTCAGAAATTCACGGGAGCCTGGAGATGATTCCATGATATTTAACACATCGGGAAATTCTCATAATTTAAATTACTGTACATACAATCAAACCTCCAGTGTGGAGACCGAAAATTGTTGAATGGTTGCAACTCTCCCAACTGGGGGATCATGTAATTGGTTAGCATGTCTAGGTACAAGCCTCCTTAGATATTCTGCTCAGCAACGAAAAATGGTCCTATCACCCTATCCTGCATGTGTCCACACCAAATATTAAATTTTGAGTTATCACAAATGTGTTCACAAAGCATAAGTGGGTTTTGAGACCCCCATAGTGACACATTACGGTGGTAACTTCGTGTGAAAGGCTTCATCAGAGAAGAACACCGTTTTAGGTACTCGTTGTCTTCATCAATCGAGTCAACGTGGAACACGCAAACTCATTCTCCGAGGCTTGTCATTAGGTCATAAAGCTTGGACTATTTGCCCTTTATAAGCATTAATGTGCAATCTCTTGTGTGCGACTTTGTGTCCCATTGATCTTGGTACAATAGCTGCAGTTCACTTGAAGCGCAATGAATAGACTTCTTAGGGCTGTGTTGGAGTGTCTCTTGATATTACCAATGGTTCCTTGAGAAACACCTGGACGTCCACTGAAGCCTGTTTATCAGACTTGTTGTCTCCTGATGGTGGGAGGTGGGAACCACCTCTTGAGGAAAGGAGGTGTGAATCACTTCCTGATGGAGGGAGGTGTGAACCACTTCCTGATGGAGGGAGATGTGAACCACTTCCTGATGGAGGGAGGTGTGAACCACTTCATGATGGAGGGAGGTGTGAACCACTTCCTGATGGAGGGAGGTGTGAACCACCACCTAATGGAGGGAGGTGTGAACCACCACCTAATGGAGGGAGGATTGTTCCCTATTGGTGGTGGTAATTCTGTTAAACAGTTCTCACTGATCAACTCTGTAGACCAGATGACACACTGGACTTCCCCTGTGTAGTCGCCATCTTCATTCCAGCTTCTTATGTTAGAAACTGGCCACCCAGATTATAAACTTGAGAAAAAACTTTAACTTATTTACCTAATGGCCACCCCTAGAGGTGGCCATACTGAGGGAAAGAGGCCAGTGGCTTGTGTAGGATCCCTCTATTGTTCTTGATAATTTTATTGATGGCTCTTTTGAAGTCCAGTACTTTTCTTGATTCCACAGCTTGGGCTGGTATACCATTCCATAGGTCTACCACCCTTTTTGTGAAGAAGTTTTCCTTATGTTTGTTCTGCATGATAACTTAGCAAGCTTGTAGTTATGTCCCCTCATGTTGGTGGTGCCTGACATCACAAAGAAATGATGTCCCAGCTTCACGTCTTCCATCCCTTTCAGGTTATTAAATGTTTCAATGAGATCTGCCCTATTGTGCCTTATTTGAAGGGTTGTTAGTACTAAGGCAACAAGATGCATTTGGTTTTGTTGTAATACAACTTTAAAACTGGTACAGAAGTTTGTTGACACCCTGTATATTTACTGCACTTAGTGTGTATATCACATGTATAGGTATTTTGACTTGGACACTGATCTTTCTTATATAACTTATTTACTTTTAGATTTATGGGATAGAGACTCGGGAAATTGTAAGTTTGCTGTCATCAGTGAAGATGCTGAAGAAGTTAGTGCAACTCAGAAACAACATGGAGGACACAGCCAGCATCGTTAAGAGGAGCACAGTTATCTCACCCATTGTGAAGCTTTATCAAGCCATCCAGGAAATGGGTCCAGAGACATTTACTGAAAATCTCTTACAAAGTGTTAATTACACATACCTACTGTCTAAGGTAAGCTTTCTTTCTTAGGTCACTTGATGTAATGACTAGCTTTGATCATTATATTTATAACTACTCTACTGTATTTTACACTGCTAAGGTACTCTTAAATTGCACGAAATGGGGGGGGGGGGTGCAGAAAGCAGTGTAAGTACATATTTATCAGCGTTACACTGCTGTACCCGAGCTTCACTTTATGGCTCTTTGGGACAGAAATAGCCAAGGGTTCTTATTAATGACCATGGGGATTGTATAAAAGGGAAATAGAGGCAGCTTGGAAAATATACAGCATCCTGGATGGTACAGTATTGTTTTCTGTACAGGTAATTAATGGAGTATTGGACTAATAAGAATGATGTATAGTATCTCCTCTCTACACCAAATTTCTATACAGTAGTATACATAAATTCACTATCTTGTACATGTTTACTGAACCACTCTTCAGATTCCAGTACAGGAATACCCTGATTATCTCAAGGGATGCATTACTTAAAGTGATTATGAATAAAGAATATGCAAATATCTGGGTAATTTTCTCCAAAGGAATTAATGTAAATAGGGGGGCATGCATTCCTAGCTGGTAGCTTTGACCATATATTTACCCCAATTTATTATGATTATCATCTATTAACACATCTAAAAGGCTAGCAACAGTGCATCGTCATATTCTTTGTTTGTTTGTCATGACGGGTGATTCTCTTCACTCTCACCAACATTGTTATGGGTTGTTTGTGACAGTCTACTTACTGAGAATAACATATGAATAGTGTGAAAACCATATAATATATAGGGTAACCATTGTAAATACAGTATTTTCTTGATTTAACGAACTAATTCGAGCAACCCCTTTCCGTTAAATCAAAATTCTGGTATTTTTCTTGATTTAGTAAACTACTGTAGTTTGCTAAGTCGAGCGTGATTCTGTTCAATTCTGCTCCTGCCACTTGGCGATGGGGTTTGTTTACATCTGCTCAGTCTATGTCCTGCTGCCACCGCATGTGTTATTCACTGCTACCTCTCTGTCTTCATCTCGGTCAACTAACTTCAGTAATATATCCGTTCACCAGAACCTGACCTGACCTGACCTGATGCAATGTCAGGTGGAGGTAGGGTGTGGGGGATTGGTGGTCTCATATGAGTGACCTTCTGATGGAATGTCAGGTCACCCTCTCTTGAACAGGGGATTAGTGGGTCTCATAACCTGAGGATGTCTTGAATAAAGACACCCTCCAACACCACCAACGCTTCTACTACTTTGCTGTCACTCAGAATCGACTATGACGATCATCCAGCTATGAGACAATGATATGAGTTATTCAGGATGTCACCTTCGTTGGTGAGTTTTGAGGTGATTAAAGAGACCGATACGGGACCTGCAGAGTCGTTCACAGATGTTGCACGTGTGGAGGGCTACATCTAGTGCAAGAGGGGTGGTGGCAGTTTCTTTCTGGCATCGGCACTTGTCTGCCTCGGTTTGCAGTCGGGCTAATTCGAAAGTATTGACATCTTCTCGTGTGGTGCTCCTCCAAACATTACGATGTGGAGAAATCGTCTCCCAGGTGAGGGGGTTGATTTGGCTCTTTTTCAGGTTTGTCTTACGACTATCAGTTGCCCTCCAGCATTATGTTTACTGTTCATTGGGTGACTGTAAAGTAGCTGCTTTGGCAGTCTGCTGTCGGCCTTGCAGGTAACATGGCCAGTCCAGCATAGTTGTTCATGGATAATAGTAGCCTCGATGCTCCTACAGTTGGTGTCAGCAAGAATACTGGCAGATGTTCTCTTGTCTTCCCAGCGAACACAGAGTATGGAACGTAGACTACGTTGATGAAAGTTTTCAAGTGCCTTGAGGTGCCTCCTGTATGTGACCCATGTCTCGCTGCCATATAGCAGGGTGGGGAGGACTACTGCTCGATATACGTGTAACTTTGTAGATAATTTCAGCTCCCTACAGCTGAAGACAAGGGTACGGAATCTACCAAAGGCTTGAGATGTACATCTGATCCGACATTGAATCTGTTTGTCAATGTCTGCGGTGGTGGACAGGTGGGAGCAGAGATACTGAAAGTGGGTAACATTAGAGAGGGTAGTACCGTTAAGTTGGTTGGAAGGTGGAGGTGTGACTGAACCAGGGGCAGGCTGAAAGAGAATCTGAGTCTTATGTACATGCTATGTGCATACTGTACTGTACTTACAGAACAATGTTTAAAATCCCACTATATCATAGCCTAAGTCCTTATATACATCTAAAATCACTTAATTTAAGAGAAAAGAAGAAATAGAATGACAAAATACAGTAAATGAAAGGAAAGAATAAGTAATCAGGTAAATAAAATACTGCAAATTTAAAGTTTAACCTCGTTCGCATCGGCGGACATTCATAAGTCAGACGTTCTTAAGTCCGGTACCCCTGCAATGTGTTTTGAACTGAAGTGTTTACTTTATACCTTTCTGCATAATATTACATCCTTTATCAATTGCTGAAGTAATTATAAATAATTCCAAATACTATACTATACTGTCTGTTAACAGATTAACAACATGAGGATGGAAGCTTTACTCAACACTGACTGGCTGGCGACTATGAAGGTGGACATAAGTGCTGCTGTCGGCAGCCTCTCACAGCTAAGCAAATTGGGTGCTGTCATGGATCTTAGCAAAGTAAGCATACCACTATAATTCTTTACTATAATTTTACAACTTGTCAATATTAAAGGAATTTAACTTGTATACCTAACCATGTGAAATAAAAATCTGTAACCACCATTGCCCCTCAGTACCAGTTTGCTTGTACAAAAGAGAAGACACAGGCTGACTTGGCCTTGGGCAGTCTTGGCACAGGGAGCACCTCACAGTACACACCCACACCACTCAGTACACACCCACTCTACCTCACCACACCCACACCACCTTACCACACCCACACCACTCAGTACACACCCACTCTACCTCACCACACCCCTGCCCACCACACCACACCACTCAATTACACCCACTACCTCCCACCACACCCACACCCTCAGTACACACCACTACCTCACACACACACCACCTCACCACACCCCCACTCAGTCACACCCACTACCTCACCCACACCCACCACTCATGTCACCCACACTACCTCACCACACCTCACTACCTCACCACACCCACCCTCCATACACACCCACACACCTCACCACCCACCACCAGGTACACACCCCACACCCTCAGTACACACCACACTACCTCACCACACCCTACCTCCTACACTCCACACCACTCAGTACACACTCCTCACCACATTCACACCCTCAGTACACACCCACTACCTCACCACCCACACTACCTCACCACACCACTACCTCCCACCACACCCACACCCTCAGTACACCCACCCTCAGTACACACCCACACTACCTCACCCACACCCACACTACTCAGTACCACCACACCCTCAGTACACACCACACTACCTCACCACAACCCCACACCACCTCACCCACACCACTCAGTACACCCACACCACACAGTGCACACCCTACCACACCCACACCCCTCACAGTACACACCCACACTACCTCACCACACCACACCACCCACCACACCCACACCCCAGTACACACCCACCTACCATACCCCACCACTCAGTACACACCCACCTCCACACCCACACCACCCAGTACACACCCACCTACCACACCAACACCACCTCCACCACACCCACATCACCAGTATACACCCCACACCACACCCACACCACCTCACCACACCCACACCACCTCCACACCACCTCACCCACACCCACCACACCCCACACCACCTCCCACCCACCCATACCACCTAGTACACACCACACACCACCTAAGTACACACCCACACCACCACACCACTCCACCCAGTACACACCCACACCACACAGTATACACCCACCACCTCACCACACCACAGTATACACCCACCACACCACACCCACCACCCACCACACCACCCCACCACCCCTTACCACCCAGTACACCCCCACACCCACTTATTTTGCACAATGAATCAAATAATTTGCCACTTGCAACTCTTCATGACTTGGAATGGTTATGGCAGTCTGTTCCATGGTAGAAGAGCTTTAAGTTCTTCACAAGTGTTCAAGCTAGGATTATCAATGGCAAAAATGGCTGACACGAACATATTGTCGCAAGTTTTTCAGGTCAGGATCTCTACTCCAGGTAGTGCTGGGAAGGGTAAACTTTTGGTTAGGTCAGGTCATGAATCCTTCATCTGACCTAAAAGTCAGAAGAAATCAAAGTTACCAAACAGTTGTGACCTGATATGAGCTCTTTTTGTATAAAATCCTCTCTGGTCTCCATAGTGGACCAAATACTTGACAGGGGAGCCAAGCTCCCCTTTACCCCACCTGCAGTTACTGGCCTGTCTAGTACACACCCACCCACACCATGCCCACTGTTTGTGTGTGTGTGTGTGTGTGTGTATGTGTGTGAGAGCCAACCTAACTGGGCAACTGCACCCAGTAAGTTCATCCTTCTGCGGTCGAAAACACAACCAAAATCACAGATCCAAACAAAACAAACTATACAACCTCTTATGGTCGCTGCATGGAATGTCACGACCCTTCTGTGTGACAATGGACGAGTTGATGATTGGAATTTTTTCGTAAGATGACAGGTCAATGGGTGAAGAAAACCCTTAAATTCATTATGGTAATGATATTTTTAAATAAATTAGGTCAAAAAGTGTCAAAAATAAGGGTTAAAGTTGCAAAAAAGTCACGTGACTGCGAAAAGCTCTGTGATTGGTTGTGACGTCACTAGTTGGCGCTAGCTGTCCAGTTAGCTGTGGTGTAGGTATTTGTTGTTACCAACAGGAATACAGGACTCGTGGCCATATACAATGTTAATATACACAAACATACCTTATTTTTAGGTTAAAATAAA